CAAAAATATAAAAATAAGTGCTGATGAGGATGTGGAGATAAATGAACAATTCTGTACTGCTGGTGGAAATGTAAATTAGTACAGCCACTAGGGAAGTCAGTCTGGAGGTTCCTCAAAAATCTAAAAAATGGAATTATCATATGTCCCAGTCATACCACCTTTTGGTATATATCTGAAAGAATTAAAATCAGCGCAGCATAGGCATACCTGAATATCTGCTTACTGCGGCATGATTTACACTAGCCAAGATTGGAGCCAGACTTGCTGCCCATTAACATACAATGGATAAAGATCTGTATTGCATTTTCTTTATCCATTTCTTTATCCATTCACACATACAGTGGAGTACTACTCAGCTATAAAGAATGAAATTATGTCATTTGCAGGAAAATGGACAAAATGAGATCATCATATTTAAACTTAATAAGCCAAACTCAAAAAGACAAGTATCACATTTTCCCTAATATGTGGAATCTAAAAAAGATGACATGAAAGTAGAACAGAGACTATTATTAAACAAAAGATGGAAAAGGATAAGGGTGTAAGGGAGAGTAATAAGGTATGGATACAATCTAAATATAGGCATGTATGAAGATACTGCATTGAAACCCAATACTGTATTGTAATAGATAGTAATAAAAATATATTTTTAAAATGTGTGATTGTTGGGCCGGGGATTTAGCTCAGTGGTTTCGCCGTCTGCTGCGCAAGCGTAAGGACCCGAGTTCGATCCCCGGTACAAAAAAAAAAAAAAAAATGTGTGATTGTTCTCTTTCCTTAATGAGATACACTGACTTTTCAGTGTTAAACTGCCCCTAGTTTCTTGTAATAAAACAGACTTCAAGATGTATTTTCTTATATTTTGTTGCTAGATTTGATTAGTTGGGGTTTTTTTCAGAGTTTTTTCATTTATATACGTGAGAGATTAGTCTTTTTAATTTCTTGTGATGTCATTGTTAAGTTTTGGCATCAGGGTTTTTTGTTGGCTTCATAATATGTTGGGAAGTATTTCTCCCTTTTAATGTATGTAAACATTTTTATAAAATTAGCATTATTTCTTCCTTAAATATTTGGAAAAACTCCTAAGATAATTCATTAGCCAAGCCTATAGTTTTCTTTTTGGTAAGAAGCCTTTCTGAACCAGGGTTCTGCAAGAGAATTATGCCTTCAAAAATATTTTGAATGACTATTTTCTGAATTGAATCTCTTGAGGATGGTGCATAACTTGCACCATTCAAGATCTACCATTTTGAGTTATTATAATGGATGCCTGGGGCATTAGGTATCCCAGCTACACCCCAGGCCTGTCCATTTAATCAGAGTTATCTGTCTTAATATAAAGTTATTTATAATATCCTTTTATTATCTTTTCAAATATGCAAGGATTTTGCCATATTCTTTTTCATTCATCACATTGGTAATTTGTGCTTTTTTTCCCCAGTCTTACCAGGTACTTATCATATTTTTTATTTTTTATTTTATTAGTACATGTTTGCAGTTCATGCAGTTTATAATCATGTTGAGAAGTGGTTACATGTATATATAACACAGCTTGTTTCTTTTTTTTTATCCCTTTCCTCTGCCCTCCCCCTCCTTCCAGGAACTAACTTTTGCCTTTATTTTTCTGTATTATACATACATGCATTTGTTTACTCTTTTGCTGATTCCTGTTATTTACTGTTTCTTTGCTTCTATTTTCTTTGAGTTAATTTGCTACTTTTTGTGCTTCTTGGAATCAATGCTTAGATTTTACAGGGGTTTTTTTCAATATATGCCTTTGGGACTAAAAATTTCTCTTTGAACACAGCTTTGACATCTTTTCATAGTGTGACATTATGAAGTTGTCCTTGAGTTAAAAACATTTTATACTTTACATTGTGCTTTTTAACAATTAGGTGTTTTTTTTAAAGTACATTTATTTAATTTCCAAACAGTTGCATTCTTCTGCTTCTCTTTTAGCATTGATTTTTAGTTTTATTTCATGGTTTTCAGAAAACAGGGTACCTACTATTTAATTGTATATAATACTAGGACTTGCTTTATAATTTAGCATTAGATATTATGTTTTGGGTAAACATTCCATTATTCTTGAAAAGAATGTATGTTCTTTATGTCGGGTTCTTAATGTTGTTTTTCACATTTTGTACATCTAGTTTTTCAGTATTCTTGTTTTATTAGTTATTGCTCAGTATGTTTAAATCTCACTAACTTATAATGACACATAAATATATTTCTCCTTGTAGTTATGGTAGTTCTTGCTTTTTGAGTCTGTTATTATATATTATATATATTAGCATTGTGTTCTTTCTGTTCAACTGAACCTTTTATTGTTATGAAATGTCTCTATCTCCAGTAATAACTCTTGTTTTTAAATCTACTTTGGTTTAGTAAGCTATATAAGTATGTTTTTTTAAATCGGTTTGCATAGTTTATGCTTTTCCATTCTTTTACTTTCAACCTTTCTGAGTTTTTATGTTAAAAATGTTTCATTTGTAAACAATATACAATTGGTATTAGTTTATTATCCATTCTTAAAATCTCCATCTTTTAATTGAAATATTTAGCTCATTTGCATTTCATGTTATTATTGATACATTTGAATTTGAACCTATTATTTTACCATTTATTTTCTTTTAATCCCATCTGTGTTATTTTTCTCCTTCTTGATTAAATTTTCTTAAAATTTTTTCTTTTCTATTAAATCATCAGTAATACAGTAGTACCTACTGATCCTCAAAGGATGTATTCCAAGATCCTCAGTGAATGCCTGAAACTGTAGTACTGAAGCTTATATATACTATATTTTTCCTATAGATACATACAAATTTAATGCCTTTTCCAGCTTAACTATTTATCACACACTATAGCTATAATTTTTGCAATTTGGTGTGGCAACTAGCATTAATGGATAAAACTAGCATGAATGTCTTTTTCCTTCACAATTTCATGGATTTGAAATAATCATTTTTGCAGTAGATGTTAATAACTCTGGATATGATTCTTTTTCTTTCTTTATTGAGAACTTTCACCTTTTCACTTAAAGTACTTTATAGCTTCCTTCAGTATGTCTATATTGCCAACATTACTACCCATGCATTTTAGGGCCATTATTAACTAAATTAAGGGTTCTTGAACACAGCGCTGTGATACAGCAGTTTGACTGATAACTGAGATGACTATTAAGTGACTGGTGAGCAGATAGTGTATACAGTGTGGATACACTGGATGAGAGATGACTCATTTCCTAGGCATAACTGGGACAGTTAGAGATTTAATCATACTATTAAAATGCTCTTCAATCTAAAATGTATTAGTTGCTTATTTTCTGGAATGTTCCATTTTAAATTTTGGGACTGGGCTTCACTGTGGGTACCCTAAAGCATAGAAAGCAAAACCTTAGATAAAGAGAAGCTACTATGGCCTTTTACTTCTTGTTGTTTCCCAGCATGAATCCTTATCTTATTAGGAGCTACCTTCAATTAATACCTTTACTTTTTCCTCAGACAGTTTAAGAGTTTTAAAAGGCTTTAACTCCATTTATTCCCTTTCTTCTGCGTGATTATCATTATATATTTTAGTCACATATAATGAGTCCCATAAAACATTATTATTATTACACTCAATAGTTAGATTTCTCCAACTTTTTGCCCTTGCTGGTGTATTTTCTTACCTTTTGCATTAGTGTACTTTCATGTGTGTCATTTTCCTTCTGCCTGAAGAATTTCCTTTAATATTTCTCTTAGTACAGGCCTATGGTTATCTATTTCAGCCTCATTTGTGACAGTTTTTGCCACATATTCAGAATTCTGGGTGGGAAATTATTTCTTTGAACATGTCACAGATAACATATTGTCATTTGATTTCCATTGATTTTGTTGAGCTGTTGGAGGACAAGATGACTTTTGATTCTTACAAAGTAATATATTCTTTTTTCTTTGACTGCATGTAAGATTTTGTCTCTTTTATTTTCAGAAACCTCATTCTCATATGCTAATGAGACTTTCTTTGGGTATATGGTAATGAAATTATCTACCATTTCATGAATTGTAAAAATTTAAGTGCCTTATTTAAATACCTGCAGTGTGCAAATCACCTGTGGGTCTGCCTGGTTTGTCTATTGTTTCTTTTGGCTTTCAGTCATTAGGTCTTGATGGACTAGTGGCTATTGTATTTGAGGGATTGTGGAGGCTTTTGCTGATACATCTTCCAGAGAGGATTTAATATTCTTCTAGAAGGCAAATTACAATATGGAAAGATTACCCGAATCACCCAGGGCACCTGAATTCTAATTTTTTTCTCGCTGGCTCCCTTTGAGACAAGTAAAATATCTGCTTATTATTTTAGCAGTTGGCTTTTTGCTTTTGTTTTTCAGCTTCTTGCTGTGCACATATACAGCTTAGGAATGGCAAATGCCTCGGCAGGAATATGAGGGATATTAGGCTCACCCTACAGTTCATTTTTGGTGACCATGCTGCCTACCTTGGTCATCCGACACTCGGTGATAGTCTTCCGTCTTCCTGATCCTGCACTCACAGTTCCAGGCAGCCAGTCTTTTGGCCTTCACACCCTTCACCTAGACCGTACAAACACCCTCAAGAGGAAAGAGTGGCAGTGACTCTATAATGAGCTACCATTATCTTTCAAAATTGATAGTTTACACCTTTAAAAAAAGAGCTTAGAAAACTCTTTACAAATTAGTGAAAGTGAACATCCCTCTAGTCCCAGGAAAGGTCACTTAACCTTTTTGTATTTCTCTTCTCCCTAGATTCTTGGCCCTCTAGTCCTGATAGCCTTTGTTACTTACTCTTCATTGTTTTAAAACATCTAGGAGATTTTTTTTTGTTTCATTTTATTCTGTTTTCATATTTGTTCTCAGCAGGAGAGTGGGATCTGATACAAGCTGCTTCTTCACAGCTGGAGTATAAGTCTGCATCTGATGAGTTTTAAAATCATTTCTTGGAGTATATGATGTTAATTGCCTTATGTTTTACATTCTTCAGGATGCAGTGTCAGCCTTACTTGCAAGAACATCAGCTGAGCTGTTAGCTGTGGAACAAGAATTAGCACAAGAAGAAGAGGAACCAGGGCCAGAAGAAGAGCATCAGGGTCCAGAAGGAGATTGGTAGGATAGTCATTTTCCTTCTGCTAGTGGGAACTCTGTGAGGAAGCTTTGGTTTCTTATAAGACACTTCCAGGGAAACCTTTATGAGTTCATGTCTTATTCTGGAATTATGGAAAACAAATATGTCTTTAGGCAGGTATGGGTAGAAAATATCTCTGTGGGCAAAGTTAACACATTAGCCAGATTTTTATTCTTGCTTTGCAGATTTTTTTTTTTAGCCGTATTGTGATTGAACCCAGAGCCTTTGCACAGTGTCACATCCCCAGCCCATTTTTAAAATTTTTTATTTTGAGGCAGTGTCTCACTAAGTCACCAAGTTGCCCAGGCTGGGCTCAAACTTGTGATCCTACTGCCTCAGCCTTCCAGAGTGCGGGGATTATAGGCCTGTGTCACCAGGCCTGGTTTCCTTTAAGTAAAGTTTTAGTGCTATTTTCTAAACTCTTTTTTTAAGTGTATACAATCAATTTTAAAAACAATAGTGTCTTATTACAGAGTCATATAAATTAAAAACTGGCTCTTTTTTCTTCAAAATACCAGGAGTGCCATTTAGGCTGTGGTAAGACAAAGCAAATACTCGGGAAATAGTTTCGCAGTAGCTATTTCTCTATGTTACTACTTTTACCTTCTTTATTTTCTGTTTCCTTCTCTGTATCTATACCCTCTTTAAAACAAAGGATGTCCATGTTCATCTATCAATCTATCTATCTAAAGAACTATCTTTCCTGGTTTGCACTGTTTTAATTTAAAACAAATTTTAGGGAATGCTGGTGTTTTAAGTATATATTGTGTGTAACTCATTTAGATTACTTTTACATATAGTTATTTATACTGTTCAGATTGAACTATTGTTAATACATTTGTGCATATGCATATATAGTATATACATGTAGTATGCATTTGCGTATGTATGTATATATTAAACGGAAAAAACTCAGAGTGTCAAGGTGTATCATAAATAATAGTCATGGACGTTTGGAAGGAAGAGCTATGACAGTGATATAAAAAAGATACAGAGACACTGTGCTTATAAAAAAAGTCAGTTATAGTTAATAAAAATCAGAGCACTGCAGAACAAATAAATATGAGTGATTATAAGGTTTATTGTAGTATCTTTAAATAATGAGCCTTCTCGTGTTTATAAGGTACAATTTATACATATTTCCAAAACAACGCTTAGTATATGAATATAGGATTTTATAAGTCATGGTAGTCATTGCTGATTCCCCCTTTTGTCCATCTCATGGTTAGATACTGAATAACTAGTCAGTACTAATTTGTTAGTGCTAGTAGTATGTCACCAGTTTCAATTAAAGCTAAACATTTAGATATCAATGGAAAAAAATGTTTTCATTCTAAGAATACAAAACTCAGCAAAGCAGGAGATGTTCTGAGCCATCCTAATATTCCTGCTTTATATATTTTGTATAAACTGTCTTCAGATTCTGCAGCACTACATGTAATGCCACCCAAGTCTGTGGCATAGCTTTTGTGAAGGATGAGCTCACGTGGCACCAAGAGTCATCTGTTGGGCCAGTTGTAAAACTCCCCGTGTGCAAGTTCTCTCTGCTAGATTATGAGCACAGCCAGGAATGAGCATTTTTAATCATTATGTCTTTATTCACTCTTAGCTGAGAGTAATCTCCTTCTATAATTAATTTTATAACAAGTAACTAATACCAAGTTATTTTATGGAATTTCCATATTTTTAAATGCCAAGGTTAAAATGTATATGTCATATTCAGAATATTTTTATTTTACTATCTAGAAATTAGGTAAATTTCATAAATTTAACATTATAGTACCACATTATGGTGATTTTGCTGCAGATTGCTAGAAAATAAAATGAGAATTTTACTTTTTATGAGCTAGTTAAAAGCTCCAGTCAAAGAATGGCTTGAATACATGTAAATCTGTTGTTCAGTTCCTAGATGACAGGTTAATATGCCCAGGTTGCACTGTTCATGGAGTATGCCTGCTTGGCTTCAAGTGTGCTTTGTTTTATTTCACTATAGGTTAACAGTGCTAAGAGAGGCCTCTGATGAAATTGTGGCTGAAAAAGAAGCTGAAGTCAAGTTGGCAGAAGACAATAGCTGTACAGAGGACTTAAGTTCATGTACTAACTTGCCTGGGGTGAACAAAGACAGGTGTAGGAAAGAAAATGAGTGTGCCAGAGACCATACAAAAGAGCTGCCTACTGGAATACCTATCCTGGTGAATATCCAGCTGTGTCTTCCTAGAACAGATGCCTCACAGGCACCATATAGCCTCAGGAGATGCTGGTCTGTCTCTTCAGGTGTAATTTCATATTAGGATTTGGGTCCAAAAACTGACCATGAAAGGCATTTATGGGAATGGTTGCTAAGAAGCATTGTAAATGCTTTAAAATTTTTAAATGGGCCCAAAATACTAATTCTTCACTTAAATATTTGCACTAAGAAAAGAAATAATGGAATTGGAATATAATTCAGTGGTAGAGCACTTCCTTAGTGTGAGCAAAGCCCTAGGTTCAATCCCCAACACCAGGAAAAAAAGAAAGAAACCAAGAAGAGAAATAGCACCAAGTTAGACCTCCATAAATATTCTGCGAATATTTATTAAAAGTATTTTCTAGATTAGATAGCAGAATGACTACTTAATTGTATCAAGTTTCAAGATACTTCAATTTCAAACATGAAAGTAAACATTTGAAGTTAATTTTGGTTAGATGGTGTTCTGCTTGAATCTTCTCTGGCAGGTGGCAAATGTAGTTTAGGTACAGATGTCAACCACGTGATTAAACCCAGGCAGCTTTGCTAGCTAAGTGGGAGATGTGTTGTGACTGCCATCCTCAGATGGGGAAAGTCCTTTTTCCAGCATTGCAGATGCTGGCACACTTGGGATGTTTGTAATGGAGTTTAGAAAATTCCAATTCATTATTCCTGAGAAAATAATATATCTTCCCTGCCTGAAAACTTTCTTTTACGAAGAAGCAAACTTTCATCAAAAGGCAGGTCTGGAATCAAGTTATACCTGTAAAATAGAAGATGTCTGCCTGTACCTACAGTTTGTGTTTTGAGACCCTTCCATTTTTACTTAAGTTTTATTTTTGTTGCATTTCCAGTAACTCAGAAAGAATTCAAACTCACAACAGTTATTATATTCATATAATTGCATATTCCATATAAATCTATAACTTTGTGGTATATTTTCATTTTCTTATATGTAATTGTTTTTATCATTTATTCTGAAGAAAACTAATTTGAAAGTATAATAGCATTTAAGGATGATATATTTTCAAATAGAATTCTTTATGCAATGTCTCTAAATCTAAACGTTAAAGTCTAACTTGTTAAAGGTAGCCCCTCCCCATTTATGGGCAACTTTGTTGGACAGCTATCTCCCACCTCCTGTGAGTAACTTTCTAAGAACGCAGTAGAAAACCATTCTCCCCACTTTCCCTGCAGAAGTACCATGCTCTGTACTGCAAGCTTTTCTCTCAGGAGTGTCCCTGGTTCTTAATGACTCTCTGTTTAGCATTAAATATTTCCCTCTTACTTAGAAGAAGGGAGCATAAATGTACACACATTTATTTACTCCTGACAAGTGGTCAATCTCTCTTGTAGGTTGACAAAGAGACAAATACTGATGAAGCAGTTAGTGACAGTATGGCAGTTTGCCCCAAAGACCGAAGCAGCCTGAGCTCTCGACAGCATCCATTCATGAGGAGCAGCATGATAGTGCGCTCACAAACATTTTCTCCAGGAGAACGGAGCCAGTACATCTGCAGGGTAAGGTGACAGTGTTCCTAATGAAGCCCTAGACATTGCAGATTCTTTCCTTCCTGCCAGTCAGTGGCCCATTAATGATAAGATGCTGTGCACTGGGAGCTGCAGAATACGAATGGCTAGAAGCGCCGTAAAATATGTGAAGGTTGTCACATTCTACTTAGGGTTCTTTATAGTTTATTTTCCCACAAACTTGATGTCTCATTGGTTCTAGTGTAATTTATTTGGCAAATAAGTGAAATTCAAGGTCTAGGTGCTAAGAATTTTTCAACTTCTGTCTATGTTTAGAAAGATACAGTAGTTTTTAAGATACATATTTTAGAAATTTACAGGCCACCAAGCTCCTAAGGCAGAGAAGATGAGCCAGTCCCAGCACCTGGAAGGAAGCTCCCCCACCACCATCCCAAGCTCCTAGTGCCAAGAAGCTGAGCCGGTCCCAGCACCCAGAAGGAAGCTCCCCCACCGCCATCCCAAGCTCCTAGGGCAGAGAAGGTGAGCCGGTCCCAGCACCCAGAAGGAAGCTCCCCCACCGCCATCCCAAGCTCCTAGGGCAGAGAAGGTGAGCCAGTACCAGAACCTGGAAGGAAGCTCCCCTGCTGCCATCCTAAACTCCTAGGGCAGAGAAGCTGAGCCAGTCCAAGCACCCAGAAGGAAGCTCCCCTGCCACCATCCCAAGATCCTAGGGCAGAGAAGGTGAGCCATTCCCAGAACCCGGAAGGAAGCTCCCCCGCTGCCATCCCAAGCTCCTAGGGCAGAGAAGGTGAGTCATGTGGGTGCCAGAAGCACCACCCCCTCCCCTGTGGAAATGGGAAGACACGTAAACAAGCCTCAAAAACAGACTTCTGGATCACCTACAGCAACCCCAAAGGGAAACAAGATGGAACAATCTGATACTTAACCACCTGGACTTTCTGAACTGGCAACAAAAGAAGATCTGGGAAAAATGAAATCAGAAATAATTACTCAGATAATAGCAAAGATTTTGCTCATGGTGCAACACATGATTAATAAATCTAGAGAGGACACAGATTTAAAAAATAGAGGATCTGAGGAACATGATGGAATC